CGGGTGTGGATCTTGGGGGGGGGGGGACCATATATATATATATATACACGTACATACATACATACATACATACATACATACACACACACAGAGAGATATGACGTGCGAATAGTATATGTCCATATTTACACTTGCACAATTTTTCTTATTACCTTTACATTCATAAAATGTATGCATATTTGTATGTGTAGTTGTATGTGTTCTTGCATACTTGTATGTTTATATTTGTTTGTATGTACGTACGCACGTATGCACGTACGTATGTATGTATGTATGTATGTATGTATGTATGTATGCCTGTCTGTATGGATTTACGGATGTATGCATATATGCAGGTATGCATGTGGGCATGTATGCATGCGTGCATGCCTGCGTGCCTGCATGCATGCATGCATGTATCTATGTATGTAGAGGCCAAGACAATTTAAGCCTGCGTGACTCGGGCTTATTGGCCGGCACGGTTTAGTGGGAGACTCTGCCCCCCACCTCCCAAACCCCCAATTTTCCTTGAAGGCGCCCGGAAGCGAAAGCAATGCGAAGACCTGGACTGCCTGGGGTGAGGAGAACGATGTGACTTATTGGCACTGCGAGTGGTGACTGTAACGAACACACATGCACACACACACACACAGTGTGTGTGTGGGGTGGGCTTCCAGTAGGTCTTCAATTGAGATCGAAAGGCTCTGCGGATTTAAGGGGCGTCTTTAGTGCTCAAGGGTTTGAGGGTTGATGGTGTTTCGGAGCACAGGCATGCCTTTATGTTTTATGCGTGTGTGCGCGCTGTCTGTACCACTACACCCTTAACCCTACGGGTATTCCAATGTATTCCGCCTCCTTCCCTAAACCCTGCTGTACACTGTAAACCCTAAACCCTAAACTTTGCCCTAAACCCTATAACCCTAAACCCTGAACCCTAAACTCTAAACCGTAAGCCCTATAGCCCTATAGCCCTAAACCCTAAACCCCAACTGGTGAGGCTCCGACCCTGAACCTCCAGCCAACGCCTGAATCGCGAAAAAGCCTACACCTTCAAGCTTTTTGCTACTTAGAATTACTGACTCATCCCTTCCCCCTAATATTAAAGAAGGGCCCCCCCTCCCAATAAACACATTCTTAAGAAATAGAGGTATTGCGATTTCTAGTGTGATTTCTACTGCCACTTTTGAGGGGTCGTGCTCTTGCTCCTGCTCGCGCTGGCTTTTGCTCCTTCTTCTGCTGCGCCTCTTGTTCCTGCTCCCGCTCTTGCTGTTGCTCCTGCTCTTACTCTTACTCTTATTCACGCTCTTGCTATGTCTCTTGCTCCTGCTCTTCCTCTAACTCCTGCTCTTTTCTTTTTTGCTCTTGCTCTGGCTCTTTCCGGCTCCAAGTGTATGTGGAGCCTCGAAACCCTCCCCCTAATTCAGAATAGGTTTTAAAGGGCAGGGATGATTTCGGGAGGATTCGCCCCAATGTGTTTTAATTCTCAGGGGGTGTTTAATACAAGGGGGAAAGGATTTTTCTGCAGGGGTTTCTTATGATAACTATAGTACAACATACCCCCCCCCAACCTTTTTGTAGTACCTGCCAACAGGAATCCATTTAAATTCTATGAACCCTAAACCCTAAACCCTAAACCCTAAACCTAAACCCTTTAAACCCAACAGGAATCCATATAAATTCTATGTATAGGGTTTAGGTTTAATAAGGCTTCATGTTCATGGCTGGGGTCTAAATTCCTGCTTTCTTGCAGATGCATGGGAGCCTCAGAGCCCACGAACCTTCTCCGATGCGCTTACATCCACGTGTAGAGGTCGATGCATCCTACATAGGTGTAGTCTTGCATGGCCTGCATACCGAAAATGTCTGTGAAGCGATGATCCACAGACCATCCTGCTGTACACCAGTCGGAGACAGGTCGCCGCAGCTTGTGTGGCACTGCCGAACCCTTTCAACGTTGTTGACATTGGCTCTCACAATCCCAGCCGTGTCGTGGCTTGCACGGGCACTGTGTCCATTCTTGTCCGTGGCTTGCATGTTGCATTGTGTTTGCCAGTCGAAGACGGTGAACAGGTAGCTCCTGGTTCGGCATGCATGTTTGTGTGTGTCGTACTGCAGTCTTTGCAGATCCACAGAAGTTAAATCTTGCCCGAACCGTAAGTATAAACGGCCGAACATACACAACGTCCCAAAGTCAACAGTGCGTGATATTGGTTGGCTGATACCCAAAACATTTTACGAAGAACACTAGAGAGAATTGTAGCATGTCTGGGAAGGCTCTTGATGATGGTAGTCGTCGTCGCCGTCGTCGTCGTCGCAGGAGTAGGATTGGCTTAAGGGTTTAGTTTAGGGCTTAGGGTAGCTGCTGTAGTAGATGCAGTTGTGGTAGAAGTACTTCATGTTGTTGCTGTTGCCGTCGCTTTCGCAGTCACTCCTGCCGTTGTTGGGGGTTGGTTGTTTCTGTGGTTGTTGTTGGAAAACATGCCAGCTACCGTCTTGTTCTTACTGTCATTCGTCTGGGTATTGTTATTGACGGTATTATTGTGTTTAATATTGTTATTTATTCTTATGATTGGTGTTGCTACCTTCGTTGGTAACATCACTACGGTTCGAGCACTTACTATCACGATAACGACGCTATACTCATCTCGCAAATGAATCAGGCACAATGTCCGCAGTATTGCACTTGGTCACCATGCTCTTCACAGTCCCTGCTTCATGTACAAAGGATAGTGAATACAACTTCTACCCCCGAAAAAGAAAGCCTGTCCTGTAGATCCTTCCACCTAGATGCTGACACCAAAAACGCAGAACCCCCTTAAGGAACCCTTAAAAGGAACCCCCAAAGCCTTGTATACTACGGCAGTCAGGTGAAGAGATGCATTCTGCGGGGGACGACAAGACCACCGAGGTAAGCTCCAGCAAGTGGCTGGCCTCCGCCCTACAGTCTCGACTTCTAGGCAGTATTAGGGAGACCCCTTAAAGGGCACCCCTCCGAACCCCACTTCTGGCTCTCTGAAAAGGGACCTTCTTGAGAAGGCATATTTTTTCAAAATTGTCCCCCCTAATCCTAACTCCCATCGATCAGCTACGGGTTCCGGAAGCCAAGACTTGCAGCGAGATAGTCCGCACACCACTACAACTACTAAAGCAAGAGTTCGAAATCCCAGATTCTACAACCCTCTAAGACCCATAGCTACATCCAAAACGTGACAAGCAAAACCCTAAACCCTAAACTGAACCAACACTAAACCCTAAAACAAACCGCACACCAACGCCTTGAAACCGACCTTCAACCCTAAACCCTTAAACTTTCACCTTGGAGGCGCCCACCCCGGCCGCGGCAAACAAACAGACCGTCACCTGTCCTCCATGGTGGCGTGAGTTTGAGTTTTCGGAAGGGTTTAGGGCTTAGGTTTAAGGTTTAGGGTTTAGGGTTTGAGTTTCGGACATTAGTAAGGCACGTAGGGGAGTAGAGCCTTACGGATTTAGCCAAAGGCTGTGTGCCGTTTGGTTGATCTGATGTCCAGAGATTGGGGTGGCAAGATGGGAAGAAGGAGATGATGACAAGGCTATTGCCACTGCAATTTCTTGCCATGGGTTTATGTCGCCCACGTTTTCGATGTGCATGTTGTTGCTTGTAGCACTGGCTGTTTCGTATGTAACCCATGTAGCCAAGGTGAAGCGGCCAAACTTTGCAAGCCATGTCTACGGTGCAGGGACCCTAAACTCTAAACCCTAGATCCCTACTTGGAGGCCCCGGGGACTTAGTAAGTAGGTTATAAGTAGGGTTATAATTGGGGTAACTCCATTTAGGGTACTTCTAACTCCACTTATAACCTACTTACTAAGTCCCCTGGGCCTCCAAGTAAGCCCGAAGCTCTAGAAGGGCTTTGTGTGCACTGCAGGGACATGTTCGATGCTGAGGTGTGGTGGGTGGACCTTGGAAGTTGGGTCCGCATGGACAACGAGACGCAGGCTTCTCGTGTGTGTGCAAACAGAAGTAAGTAATGAAGAGAGAAACAACTTCGCAAACAAGTAAATGTACAAGCTGATAAGTAAGTTCATAAGTAGGTACGTACACAAACAAATATGCAAATCACCATATATACACACACACACATGGGCACACACGCACGCATACCTAAGCACATCTGTAAGCAGGCAAGGACTCGACCAGCAACAATATTAGGGATAGTTCCCGTTTACATACCGACGAGAGGCTGCTTCGCGCATTAGGGACTTCCGCCGGCCCGCCACGTTAGGACTGCTCCAAACCCGCCACAATCAAAAACATATTGCAAATCCAATTATTAAGGCCTCTATATTCGCCGTTCAGTGCATGATGACGTGCATGTTCTAGATACCCAAAGCACATACGTCGGGGACATGGAGCGAGTATCCCTGTTGTGCGCGAAATGCAATGCTATCCCTAAGCAAAACATGCCTTCTGCAACTCTAAACCCCCAAAACCAAAGCCCTAAACCCTATCGCTCATAAGCGCTCCTGAAGCTTGGCGACCTGTCCTACGGTTTTGATGTCGGAAAAATATCGTGGTTCTATTCCTTACAGCCCTTAAACAATGATGGTATTCTAAACCCTAAACCCTAGACCCCCCAAGGCCGCAGAGCCCTGCTCTGACTGTTAAGGTCCCCAGTCTCCAAACCGTGGGAGTAACCATTGCAGATCCTTTCAGGGAGCCCTTCTACCCAGAGACCCCAATACACCTTAACTCCTTAACGAAGGAACATACCTTAAAATTATAGGGGCCCTATTATGGTATATAGCTTAATTAATTACGGAATATACCTTTAAAATTATAGAGGCCTTAATATTGTGACTTAAGGTATATAGCTTAATTAAGGGGTTCTCTGGGAACATCACCATCTCACTCAAAGGATCAAGGCCCTCGTATGAAGCATTTCAAGAGAGCCTACAGGAGCTGATGCGTCAAGCGGTCGCAGAAGGTAAGTCCTTCGTGCCTCGGTTTCATCCGGGGGTTGGATTAGTTGGTGCTTGAGAATTTAAGGTTGAGGGTTTAGGGTTTAGGGTTTAATTTGTTTAGGGCTTAGGCTTTTGCGTTACCGGCTGGGGGTTAAACGTTCAGGTCGTCTAGGGCTTGATTAGGGCTAAGGGATGCTCAGGGTCTTGTTAAGGTTTGGGATTCAGGGTTTAGGGTTTTAGGGTTTAGGGGTTTAGGGGTTTAGGGTTTAGGGTTAGGGCTTTAGGGGTTGAGGGGTTTAGGGTTTAGGGGTTTGTTTCGGGCTTTCGTTCTGGATGCTGGCTGGTGCGTAAAGCAACTTCGATCTCGAGTACATGCCGAATTATGCCTCCTGTTGGGCTGTTTCATTCCGGGAGGTTGAAAAAACAGTAGTGATATCCCTAAACCCTAAACCCTAAACCCTTAATATACTGTAGCTATCCCGAAAACCCTCTTTTGACTCTTGAGCCCCCTATACCGCGGTTTCGGATTCGTGGTTTTACGGTGTCTTGCTTTGCGGCTTTGGGTGTCATTGCCTTGTAGGTTTCAGGATGAACAACAATCTCCTCAGAAGAACAAGACCTGAAGTATTCATACCAAGCCCTCGAAACCAAAACCCAAAACCCCAAAGCCTTGCTGAAGGCACTCGAACCTAAGGCCGATAACTCTAAACCCAAGAGCTTTGAGCCTCAGAACGCTCAGTCCGTACCCTAAACCCCAAACCCCTAAACCAGAAACCGCCCAGGTGGAGTTCGAGGCCAGGGGCCAGCCCTACCGAGCCGACTTGGAGATGTTCCCTGGCAGACATGAGGGCTTGAGGGCTTTAGTATCGAGGAGTTCAGGATTTCAGGTTCGGGATATCGGATGAAGGGTTAAGGCTTGGAGCTTAGGGCTCAGGAATCTCGGGTTGCTAGGGTTTCCGGTTCATGGTTTAGGGTTTAGGGTTTAGGGATGCTGTAAGGCTTAAGTTCAGGCTTTAGAGCTTGGCGCCTAGCGTCAGAACAAGACTTCTGAGTCGATCCAAGCCAAGCTTCCCCATCCTGGGGCATGTAGAGTACTATAGGGGCATTTAATAATCGGATCAGGGTTTTGGGGGCTCCTTATTCTAACTATAGTATAAGATGCCCCAAAACCCTATTCCAATTATTACGGCCCCCTATATTACAGTAGAAGCCAGACCTGCAAGAGCGCGTGTCCTGTGATCACAGCGGGCGTGCTGAGAGCCCGCGGACACAGGGAAGATATGGGTCAGGGGTCATATTGAGACTCTTCGTGACAAGCAGTCAGGCGGCTTTGGTCTCAGGCAAGCAGAGAGAGAGAGAGAGAGAGAGAGAGAGAGAGCGAGAGAGAGAGAGAGAGGCGGCTTTGGTTGAGATATGTTACCCGGCAGATCAATGGCAAAGTGCTGCAGTGCTTGCGTCACTTACATACAGACCAGTCAGCCATGAGGGCGGCTCGTTATTGCCGACTATCCGCTCTTGCTAACCGTTCCAGTCGCATGCTACAGCATGTGCGATGAGGTCATGAGTCCCTGGTTGCCTCGTAGGCAAGCACACCAAAGTTGCGTAGAAGTGTACCATAGTAGTGCCTGGCAAAGATGAGTCGTAGTTGTATCGAACAGACCGGTTGAGTAAGTGCTACTTGCAACAAGAGACGTGTGCAGAATGCCATGCTTCGAAAGTTTCAAAAATCTGAGATAGCCAGTGGGAGAACTATCAGCTGTTTGGCCTCATGTTTTAGAATTGTTTGGACCCGGTTATTCAAGAAGAGAGAAATTAGTTAGGCCGGTCAGTTTCCGACTTTGCACGGACGCTTACTGACCGATGCATAGACCTGCGCCGAGGATGATGCAAATCAACATGCGCACCAGCATGTGCCGAGTGCCCTGGAGAAAACCTTAATAGTCTTGCATCCCTAAATCCGAAGATACTGCACTTTGCGAGACTATAATATCGTCTGCTGTAAATATCTGGACTTCACACCCTACGCATCCTCTGGAGGCCCTCCAAACGCCCTGAACCCTCTACCCTAGAGGAACCATTTTGGCACCCCCATAGATCCCTTAAGGGAACCTCTGTAGTACCCCTCTGGATCCCTTAGAGGAGCCCATTTAGTAGCCCTATCGATCCCCATGTTGACCCCGATAGATACTTTACTATGCCAGGCGATCAAGGTCACGGAACCGGACGAGATTCCGGAGGACGACGAGGAGGCACCAAAATGCCATCAAGGCTCTACTCAAGTGTAAGCAGCATTTAGGGAGTTTCGGGTTTAGGGTTTAGTAGTGCTTTATGATGCTGCTGATGGCAAGATTGGGGCTCTAGTCCTGAAAGGTCCAACCAGACGTCGGATTCGAGGTGGAGGGTTTTAGCATTCGATCCTGATACCGCACGCGGTGTCGCACATGTTGTTAAACGCTTGTCGAAGATCATCAGATCTTAAGTGCTTTTAACTTACATGCCCTGAACCCTACTAACCCTAATCTACGCTCTCAACTACAACCCTAAGGGTCCAAAGGACCTAATAATCATGTACTTGGGTTACGGATGGTAGTTTTGTAGGTTAGTATTCAGAAGAGTATATGATTGTTAGGTACTTGGACCGTTAGGGCAAGCTTAAGCCCATTCTACCCTGAATCCGTGCCCTGAGGCCCTCAACCCTACGTTGCTCCAATTCGGAAGCTGCATCAGTCATCTACGGTTTCTCTTCCCTGCCACAAGGAGAGCGCCGAAGACGACGAGGTGCCGATTGTGTTGGAGGTGATGTCAAGTTGAAGAGCTTCTGCAACCAGTGATCAAGTGTGGGACATGACGTGCGTGTGTGTGTGTGTGTGTGTGGGTGTTGTGGAAATAACATGATTCCTCATGTTTGCTGCACTGATTCTGCACAGTTCATGTAACTTCAGCATGACAACAGTGTGCATTATGTGCCGTACGAGATTGTGTACATATAACTCTACACATATGACCCAACACATAAAGCCTAATCCTTGAACCCTACAACCCTGAACCCAAAAGTTCACGCCCTAAACCTCTAAACTCTAAATCCTTAACCCTTAAATCCTAAAGCCTCAACCCCTAAAACACTAAACCTTAAACCCTAAACCCTAAACCCTTAACCCTAAACCCTTAAATCCTAAAGCCTCAACCCCTAAAGCACTAACAGGATATCGACGAGGATGACCTTCTGAGCAAGATCCGCAAGGGGGCTCCGAGCGAACTCCCGAAACGCCACTCGATGGGAAGCAGTTTACTGTCAGGGTTTATAGGGGTTTGGGGGTTCAGAAATTTAGGGTGTAGCGTGACTGCTACTGCTGCTGACGCTGCGGCTATTTTGACTGCATTATGACTGTTACCGCTGCTTCTGCTGCTCCACCTCCTCCTACTCAGTACTACTGCTGATGCTGCTACTACTGCCCCCTTTGCGATGACTCCCACCACGCCGACGAGTATTACCAGTACTACTACAAGGATGCCGACGACGGCGACAATGACGACTACTACTTCTGCTGCTACTGCTGCTGCTGCTGCTTCTACATTGACGACGACGACTACTACTACATCGACGATGCTGACGGCGACTTCGGCGACGACGACTACTACTGCGGCTGCCAGCGTCCACCAACGGCAATTGCTCCTACTCACGACTAGCAAGGCGAGGATCATGGCGACTTCGGCGACTGAGAAAAATGGCGACTGCAACGGTAGGGTAGTGTTGCACAGCGAAAGCTACGGTTTCCGACTGTACCAGAGCTGAATCTTCTGAAGTTGGTCACAGCAAGGAGTGATGCTGTCGGTGTGGAGTCTGTATAGATGACATACTTGTTGTTGTTCATGGTGCAACTCGCACGTCTCATTGCGCATCGTGGTATAAGCATAGTGCAGTGCTACTGCTGGCGAGCACTCCCGGGATCAAATTTCGACACTGCCGCTGCATTTCTTGCCTGAGCTTCGTGATTCAGCAGCGAGCCAGGATGTAGCGACATGGCATGCCATGTCTGTGGAGAAGTTTTGGCGACAACCGTGCCTAAACTAAAGCACCACAGGCGATGAGCGCTTGGAGAACCTGGTCAACCTTCTTCTCAGTGAGGCCGTCCAGGCAGCTTCTGCAAATCAAATTCCAAAGCCTCCTAAGCTCTGCTTGGACCATCAACCCCCAATTGCCCCCAACCCCCACTGGCCTACCGTTTTAGGGTTCCTTAATGTTCCTTACTATGAGTTCTCTATACAAGTCCTTGAAGACGTCGGCTATTTGGGGTTACGGTATACGCCCCCCCCCCCCCCCCCCCC